TTCGTGCGAAAGTTTTGCTCCAGCACAAGTAAAATCGCAATTTTTCCCTCCGTTTTTAGCCGATCGACCCTCATTTCGTGCGAAAGGGTTGCTCCGGGGCAAGTAAAATCGCAATTTTACCTCAGTTTTTGCCGATCGACCCTCATTTCGTGCGAAATGGTGTGCTCCGGCACAAGTAAATCGCAATTTTTCCTCAGTTTTTTGACGAGCGAACCCCTCTTTCGTGCGAAAGGGTTGCTCCGTGCACAGAAATCGAATTTTTCTCTCAGTTGTTGACAGGATCGAACCCTCATTTCGTGCGAAGGTTTGCTCCGGGGCAAGTAAAATCGTCAATTTTTCCGTCACACAGTTTTTTTGACGATGACCCTCATTTTCGTGCGAAAGGTTTGCTTTTAGGACAAGTAAATCGGCAATTTTTTCTCTTCAGTTTTGACGATCGATACACCCTCATTTCGTGCGAAAGGGTTGCCGTTTCGTGACTCGCCGCCGGTACCACCCTCGGCCTAAAGAGAGAAAGATAAAGAAGGCGAGAGAGAGAAAAAGGAGAGAGAAAGGAGAGAAGATGTGAAGGCGAGAAGATGTGAGAGAAGGTGTGAAGATGAGCAGATGTGAAGATGAGCATATTGAGATGATCAGATGTGAGAGAATATGTGGACCTGAGCGATGTGAGTGAGGGCAGATTGATCAAGATGTGAAGATGAGGCAGTTGTTAGAAGAAGATTTGAAGATGAGTCAGATGTGAATATGATCAGACATGTGAGAGAAGATGAAGGGCCGATTGAAGAATTAGCATTGTGAGAGAAGATGTGAGAGAAGATGTGAAGATGAGCAGATGTGAGAGAAGATGTGAAGAACAGCAGATGTGAGAGAAGATATGAGAGAAGATGTGAAGATGAGCAGATGTGAAGAGAGGAGCAGATGTGAAGATGAGCAGATGTGAAGATGAGCAGATGTGAGAGAAGATGTGGACATGAGCAGATGTGAAGATGAGCAGATGTGAGAGAAGATGTGAGAGAGAAGATGTGAAGATGAGCAGATGTGAAGAGAGGAGCAGATGTGAAGATGAGCAGATGTGAAGATGAGCAGATGTGAGAGAAGATGTGAGAGAAGATGTGAAGATGAGCAGATGTGAAGATGAGCAGATGTGAGAGAAGATGTGAGAGAAGATGTGAAGATGAGCAGATGTGAGAGAAGATGTGAAGAACAGCAGATGTGAAGGTGAGCAGATGTGAGAGAAGATGTGAGAGAAGATGTGAAGATGAGCAGATGTGAAGATGAGCAGATGTGAGAGAAGATGTGAGAGAAGATGTGAAGATGAGCAGATGTGAGAGAAGATGTGAGAGAAGATGTGAAGATGAGCAGATGTGAGAGAAGATGTGAAGATGAGAAGATGTTTTACAGACCCCCACTATTGGAAGAACCCTGCGCTCAGACGCTCTCGGGAAAAATAAAAAACCATCCCAATGCTCACCAAAGGCGTCACATAGCGGTAAAAATCACCAGAAATCATTCCACCCTTCAAAATCCCTCCAAACCCCTCCAAATCTTTCCAAACCCTCCAAATCCCCAAAAATCTTCCCCCATCTTTCCAAATCACCAAAAATCACCAGAAACTTTCCCAAAACCCAAACCCCCGCCCCAGCCACCCCAAAACCACCCCCCGAACCCACCCGAACACCCCCAAACTGGCCCCCACCCGCCCCAAACCCACCAAAACACTTCCCAAATCCTAAGAAATAATCCAATTCGGCAAATTTCGGGCCAAAATCTGACACCGCTTTCGGCAAATTTCAGCACCGCTTTCGGCAAATTCGGAACCAGTCGGGAACCAGTCGGGAACCAGTCGGGAACCAGTCGGGAACCAGTCGGGAAAATCCGTGCACCGCCCCAAAAGGCACAAAAATGCTTGTTTTTGGAGGGATTTGGCACTTTTTTGGTCGAATTTGGCACTTTTTGCAGGGTTTTTGCCAAAAATCGACCAAAAAAGTGCCAAATCCCTGCAAAAACCAGCATTTTTGTGCCTTTTGGGGCGGTGCACGGATTTTCCCGACTGGTTCCCGACTGGTTCCCGACTGGTTCCCGACTGGTTCCGAATTTGCCGAAAGCGGTGTCAGATTTCAATTTTTTGGGTGTCAAAAAAACGCGCTGTTTCGGGCTGAAACCGGCTGAAACCAGACCAAACCCTTCCCAATCTCTAGGCTTTTTGGTAATTTTCCCGTTGGATTGACACTTCGAAAGGGGTTAAAAAGCGCGCCCTTTTTGCGCCCAAAAAGGATCCCAAAAACAGAGAAAAAGGGCGCGACCTAAAATCCCAAACCAAACAGAAAATTACCTGCGCTCTCATCTGTTGAAGATTCCGCTTCCGAGAGCGCGGATTCTGATGATAGTTCTGTGCCATTGAGTCAACAGGTTTTGTTGGGCCAGTTGGGTCACAGGTTTTGTTTCCAATTTCAAGCTTCCGAAAGCCCGGCAGTTTCACTTGACAGTTTCACGGTTTCACAGCATCTTCTGGATCCGGGTAGAATGTGGTCATGTTGGGCCAGAGCGAAAGGGTTGCGGCTGTGTTCCCACAGGATCCCACAGGGGGGTGTTCCTTGTTGTAAACTGTTAAAATATTGTAGTTCAAGTTGTAGCAATAGAACATTGCAGTAGATAATGGTGGCTGCAATTTGGTTCCTCCTGAGCATTGACTTCCCATATGTTGGGACTGGTTGGTTGGTTTTTGACATCCTCCACCCCCCCAGAATTTTGACACCAAACTTAGCCGTTTTTAACACCACAAAAGGGATTATCAAACACCAGGCCCAAACACCAATTTTTTGATTTTGAACACCACATTTTTCCCACATTTTTTTTTTCCAGCACCACTTTTTCGTTTTCCAGCACCTTCCGTGCACCGCCCCCCGCCCCCCCAGAGCCCACGTTTTAAGCCAGCTACGGGCTGGCCAATATACTATTAATATTAGATAATTTTATATACTTGGTTCTTTTTTGGGAACTTATGGGAATTGTTCATGGAATTCTTATTAATATGTTGGTATATTTGGTTATATTCATGAATACATATAACAAGCATTAGCCAACTAGTAACTATAATACGATAGTTGGGATTGCAACCATTGATATTTTATGGGGATATAAAGAGTATATAATTACATGATATATAAAGGACTTTATGGGAACTTGTTGGGAACTTATCGAATATGATATGACATGATGAATATGATATGGTTTTCCAATCAAAGATTGGGACTGAATCAACAAAAATGATGGCATAGCTGAATAATATTGGGATATGGATAATCATCCAGATAACATGATGCCAATGCTGCGACCTCGCGTCACGACGTCATGACAGAATGATTGTTGGTATGTTCAGGTTGGTAAAATAGTATGATTTATCTATCCAGATCTTATTGGTCATTTTCATGGGGAAGCCAGTATGGAATCTAGGAGTACGGTACCAATTGCTGAACAAAACACCCAACTGGGGGCTACCGCAAATTTCTACGTTTGATTTATTCTGTTGATTGTCCTTATCTAAACAGGGCTAAAGTTTTCCAGGTAAACCACCCTTTTGAGACACTCCCAGATGTTTGTCGGTGCATTAATAGCTGCATTGGGCGAAGTGCAAATTCTCATACAATACGTGTATTATATATATAGTTATATACAATACACCTATTCTCATGATTTCTGGTGTTGGCTATTGTTTGGTTCTGTCCTAGGATTTGGTTCTGTACTTGTGATATCTTGTTTGCAGCATTTTCATGGATCTACATGGACCCTTCCAAGCCTCCTATCTACCAGGAAGCTGCAAGCTGCAATAGGAATGGAGATCAAATCCTTTGAGGTAGCCCAAATGTTTCTATTTTTCCGAGTGGAACTAGTAATTGAGATTCATAAGGAGAACACTCACAGTGATGAAAAATCATAGTGACAACAGTTATGATACTGATATTGATGATGATGATGATGGTGATGATGATGATGATGATAAATTATAATAATAGTTCTGTCATAGTATGTCAGTGATGTTTAACAAAGAGAACAATCACATGGCATGGACGCTAAAAAACTAATGATATTCATTACTATACTGTATATATATGTACATTATAGTGTTGTTGTTTTTTTCTCTGTACTTAATCTTATTTAATCATATAGTCATTATCATATATATATAATGTTATACACGTACACATGCACATAATCGACCATCTATGATATAACTTAAAACGATGATCCAACGCTGCCAACGCTCCTAAGACATCGACTTACCTCGAGTTGTTTCGAGGTGTCCCAAGAAGGCCAGGAGGAGCTGATCGAAGCGTCCTGCAACCCAGATGACCACCAGCGTTTGTTTCAATGCTGCGATCCACATAATATATATATATATATACAGTATACATATATATATATCCATATATCACATATATATATATCCATTTATTATATATATATACATACAGTACAATACTGTAATCATAATCTGTTTGGTATAAGAGATGTATAAGGTATGTAATCATAGATATATGATATATGTATTAATATACTATATTTCATATATCAGATATGAAATGTACATGTTACATGTTACATGTTTGAATCATAGGTTTGATTTGCAGTGTATATTTGTATGTATATATTGATATGATGTATGTACTTGTTTTGAATATATAAGGAAAAATACATATACAACTTGAGTCAATTTGAGGTATTTGATACAGAAATGCGAACATATGCACACAGTTCAGTTAAGTCTATATGTATATATATATTATATGTACATTTATCAAACTGTTTTACTCCAGTGAGCAGCTCCTTCGTTCCTAAAACGTCGCAAGCTGCCAGATGTTACTGACATTGGCATTTGCACCCCTCAAACAAAGCATCTTTTCTATGGCGTATTGCAGTGACTGATCTCAAAAAAGCGACCCATATGTATGCCGTGAATGTATAACATTGAGAACCCAGTGATGAACACTGCCATTCTCGAGGCTGCGGGAACACGAGCACGATGACACGGTCTACATCGTGGTGCGCAGGGATGGGATGCTGACTTTTGGGGGGGACATGATCGAAGATGTCTCGCCTCTTTTCTTTTGTTGAGTTTGTTTTTGTTGAGTTCATAGAAGATGTCTTGCAGTGCAGTTTTTTAGGTGAGTTGTTTTGTTGTTTCTTTTTAGAATGATAGAAGATGTCTTGCTCTTCTTAACTGCAGCTGACCGGATAGGCCACCAACATCGAGATGGCCTTGCAGATTCCCGCGGGAGGCGGCCGGATCAAGTCGAACAATGGCCTTCCTGGGTTGCTAAAGCCAATGCCATAAATCATCATAAACCTACGCTTTGGGGATAGTTTATGCAACCCATAAGAATGGTGATTTTGGGGATCGATTATGGCAGTGGGTTTACCACATGCTCGCATCATTGATGTCGAAGAACTTCAGCCCAAGGATCAATGATGCCTTCTATTGAGACTCTCCTGGGGGGTTGGTCAATATTCATGATGTGCCTCCTTTTTCCCTGCAGATGATAGTTTAAAAAGAGAAAATATGAGCAAGGATATTATGGCAATCGATTTGAATATGTATACAGTATTATATTATATTATTATATTATATATATACATGTATTATGTGTATGTATATATGTATACATACAGATACTGTACATCAAAGGGTTACTGCTGCTGCTGCTGCTGCTGCTGGTGGTGTTGTTGTTGTTGTTGTTGTTGTTTCTCTGTTTCGGTGATTGTTGTTCTCGGTGGGTGTTGTCCTGCTTCTGAACCCTGCAACTGTTTTATATGTTCTCACGTTCACCCTGGTTGTCCTAGGGGATGCGGCTATTTGTACGTTAAATGGTTTCATGTCTTCATGTGTTATTGAAATTTCAATATATTCATGACAGTATATTATTGTTATTATTGTTATTATTGTTATGATTGTTATTATTGTTATTATTATTGTTATTATTATAAAGTATTGTTATTATTCTTATTATTATTATATATATATATATATGTATATGCATTGTGCTTATTTAGATATAGTGACATGTATGATATACAGATACCATAAAAATTTGTAGATTGTTTTTCCACGTTTTGAAAAAACGCCATTGATCCCATGAGGCTGGTTTGGCCTTACCCAGCTGCGGAAAGGGATGGAGGCTCAACCAGCAACTGATTTGTTGAAATTTGCTTCGCATCCTTTAGATTTTTGATGATTTTTTGTGTCCGCTTAAAGCCAACCAAACAATAGTTTGGGAGATTGAATGACAAAACATTCTAAGTTTTATGAAAGCTAGAAGTTGTCCGTCGGAGTCAGAGTGAACTGATTTTCTGAAGCATTTGTGCCTCTACGCACATATTGTATGGCAAATATTTTTTTTGTGCGTTTTTGTGTGGAATAGATTGAAAATCACCCAATTGTGTTGTCAGTTGTCAGTTGTCAGTTGTTTTTTGATTGCCATTGGGACCGAGGGCACCTGGGTTTGTTGTTGCCCACACTGCAAAGCTATCTTTCAACACATCCAAACATTAGCTGGACTGAGCAAAAACAGTCTATTCAAGAATTGCCGCTAGAAAAGATACATAAAGATACTATGATGATAAATCGGGGTGTTGCTGTCAGTTGCGTGCTGTTTCCCAAGGTTGCAGGACATATGCAGTATCCATACTTTCCAGGTATGGAATACTTATTACCCATATTATTGTATTACCCGCAGGCATTTACCCAAACATACCATAGGAGCAACATGTGGGATACACGGATACACTACAGGTACATCATTGGATTCTTATTCATATAGTATATAATAATAATAATGATATATATATATACATTACATCTATAGAATGTATATATACATATACATATATATATATAATACTGGTAGGTGGTTTGGAACATTTGGATTATTTTTCTATATATTGGGAATGTCATAATCCCAACTGACTAATATTTTTTCAGAGGGGTTGAAACCACCAACCAGTATAATAAATTGGAGGTTCAACTATAACGTCACCGCAACGGGTATTGTAAAAGGAAATGGCCCAGAAAGGGCCAATTGATTTTTGAGGTCGACCTCCCTGCAACATCATTGGAATGATGGTTTTAAAGGGGAATCATCCCCACATGGCCTTATATATTGCAGGCTAGATCAGGTTAGTGAATTGTACGCTAAACATATTTATCCATATATATATATGTATACATATAATTCTATATAATAGGCTCATACACCGTTTGATTCATGTACTCTCTGGTGATCAAACATGGCTTGCTGGAACATTCTCCATATTGTAGATATTTTTCCAGCTATAAACCTCCATTGGGCGCGGGGATTTCCCAGCGGCCATGTTTGAGGACAGCAGAGGATCAATCCGTCAATATGATGATCCCATTATCATCCCTATGATTAAACTCATTAAACCACCAAGACCCATATGAAACTGCCATTCAACCTCCATTTGAAACCATAAAACATCATAAAACCATATTTATAGATCATGTTCCCAGCTCTAAAGCTTCATTTTTTTGCGGATCTCCCATGGTACCAACCACCATGGTACCAACTCAACCAGGTTGCCGTGAACGAGCTTGGCCCGGGCGAGTTGCTGGGGAAGACATCGGCGCATGGGGCTCAGCAATAGCCTCTGGTATTGGTTGTTACATGGCTATTGAATCGTGGATTTGCCCATTGAAAACGGTGATTTTCCATAGTTCTGGGACAGTTTACCAGAGGGTATGTTGTTTACATTATGAATACAAAACAAATATATGGATCATGGTATAGATTTTAGATGATGTTCTAGTTGTCAGGATCTATCTGCTTGAGCAGAGGATTGATCGAAGTGCAAAAACACATCACAGGCCATTTGAGCCATTTAGTTGTACAGCTGACATTTTACAGATTCAAGCTTGTGGGGATTTAGTTATTCACATGCATTTAAAAATAAAAATAAAAAAGACGTTGTCTATTCATGTCCAGAGTCAAAAAGACAGGTTTGTTCTGCATGAATGGGCGAATTTCCAGACAATTCTGAAGATTGAGGCTTCCTAAAATGGGGGTACCCCAAAATCATCCATTTTCGTATGGGATTTTCCATGAAATATATCAACCATCCAGTTCTTGGGGATGATGATGGAAAGCTGCTGGTAAGGCTGGAGCGTTTCCACAATGGAAAATGGCAACTGCGCTTTGGCGACGAGGTGGAGAAGGGGGACAAAACCTGGATCTGTGATCCCTGATACTCAAGTTAGCAACATCAGAACTCGTGAGTCTTAGATCTGGTTGGTGGTTTGGAACATTTGGATTATTTTTCCCATCATATTGGGAATGTCATCATCCCAACTGACGAACTCCATCATTTTTCAGAGGGGTTCAAACCACCAACCAGATGATCATTTATCCCATCATATAACCCATATAGAACCACTATGAAATTGGTATTATAACCATTGACTTCCCAACTGGTTGGTGGTTTGAACCAATTCACAGCGAATGGACCTCCCAAAGCTCCAAACTTCATGGCTTCCACAGAGATCGATGTTTTTTCCCTGAAGAAGACCACCGGCAGGTGACCTTTCTGGCTCCGGAACAGCTGGATCTCCGGCCAGACCCACAAGCGCATAAGGAGCGCTTAAAAGCGTTGGGGTGGGATTGGTTGGATGGTTGGATGATGTTGGAACTGTTTGTTTGTTCAATTCTAGAATACCCTCTGGTTATTTAACATAGCCATGGTATAGATGGCCCATAGAAATAGATGGTTTACCTATTAAAAATGATGACATGATGATTTTCCATGGCTATGTTGAATAACCAGAGGGTAAGGGATGGATTTGAGTTTTTTAGTTTAGACATGTTTAGCCAGATAACTGATGGATTTGATGGATTTTGATAGCTGCTGATAGCTTCTTGATATTTGCCAATGTTAGTTGATGTTTGTTGGTCGCACATGCTTTTCTTCACGGGCGATAAGTTGTTTGAACATGTGAGTCTTTCGGTCAGATTGACATGGTTTCGTTCTGTGGCTTTGACATTGGCCGTTCATAGCGTTAATTTTCCTGCTGAAGCGGGACACTGCATATAATATCATGTTTGCCATGATAATATGTACAAAATGACAATATATATATACATAGTAATAACAATACATAAATAAATATAAAAACATATTACGAAGTAATCACAATAATAAGCACGATAGCAATGATAATAACACAAATAACACCAATAGTCGTTATCATTCTAATCATGATGATGAGACTCATGACAGACATACTAGTTGAATTCTATTTGAAATATAACGTATATAATATGATTTGACGCGATCAAAATGATACGATTTGATATGCAATATTATACGTATACAAATAGATATATACATAGGCGCCTGGCAAATTTGCCCTGCTGTGAATGACCTCAGAGACCAAAAGTTGTGAGTCATTCTTGCCACACGCATTTGCAGCCATTAGGTTCGGTGTCATTCGAGGGGCAACACTTCCAACCTGTTGGAAATGATTCTGGTTTGCCTTTGGTGGTAACAACTGTTTGTTACAACCAGGCCGCCGGCTTTCTGTGCAACATATTGCAACATCATCTATGCGGGAAACATCACTGCCAATGATCCTAAAGCAGTCCGTCCACGCTTCAGAACTTCCAAAATCATGGAAAAAAACCCTCCAGAAAGTGGTTGAAGCGCAGTCTTTGTCAGGAGTTGGCAAAGCAAAGGAATCGGAAGGTGCCACAAGCTGCCGGGTCAGGGTGGGATATCTCGAACTCGGTGAGTCAGAGTGCAGGCAGGTGTGCTGATGGATACCCTCTGGTAATTTAACATAGCTATTGAAAATGGCCATTTATAGTGAGTTTTCCCATTAAAAATGGTGATTTTCCATAGTTATGTTAGTTTACCAGAGGGTAATGTTTGGTCCTTGTTATTCAGATCTGGAGTAAAGATAGCAAAGTAAAAGGACCCTCAACCAACAGGTATTCTGATATAGCAAAATATGGTTGCTATATCTTAAGAAGTATCTAATCTAATGGATGATGTATATATAATATGTATATATATATATATACCAACCCTAAACCAACAGAAAGTCCGAAGCATTCTTTTTGACTACTGCTGGCCGGCGTCCCTGGAAACATACCCAAAATTGGAGACACTGGGTACTTTTCATCAAGGAATATTGGCTATAAAGCACGTGTGTTTGCTTCAAATCCTATTAACTGTAGTTAACGACCACAGGATAGTTGACTGTGTCAAGGTTACATAATTATCATATGTATGTATGTATACATATATATATATACGTATGTATGTATGGATACATAAAGTATATATATATACACAGTGTGTATGTATATGTCCATGTGCATGTATATGCATATGTACAGGTATATGTATATGTACATTTTTTATGTGTATGTGTGTATGTATACGTGAAAGTATCCGTGTATATATATATATACATGTATAATCAACATGTCAAATCCACCAAGAAGGCGTGACCAAGCAATTTGCAGCTTGGGTTGCCATTTTTATTGCAGGTGTCCATGAAGGAGGAAGATTTGGCGCATCAGGCCCGGCGATTTGTAGTGACAACAAGAGCGAAGATAACCATCCCTGATATCTATTTCACACTTGGTGGTTCACCCCAGTAAGTAGGTTGTGACCCCCAGTTGTAACTGGAAAAACCTGCTGATCCTGTTTAGGCCCCTAGGCTTATCACCCACTTACTAATGGGGTGAACCAAGTAGCCCCCCTTTTCTGATGTTTCTAATTGAGGATGAAGAACCTGGCGGTTTGGATTCGCAGTTTTGATAATCGCCAGTTTCTACGATGCCATGTATCTCAACCTCAGTTCATGGCAATTCTGACCCAGTTGTACCTACGGCGTTGGAAAAAAACACCACTGAAGGTTGTTCTCATTTGCGTTTACTCCAAAACATGTAAAGACAATAGTTGAGTTTGCTCTTGACAACGGAAGCTTATTATAGGGAAATATAGGCATAGTCCCTAATCAGGAGCAATATATTCAGCAAATCGCCAGGCGCAGCTGATGTCTTCCACAGCCGCTGCGCGCAAACATCTGCCGTCCGGCGGTAAGGTGCCAGAGAAGGTGCGAATCCTAGATAGGAACGTTGATGGCTGGGTAAACGGGTAAACCAGAAGGAAAAGCCGTTTCCTTAGGAAAAGGATAGTGATCTTATTTTGGGATATAGTGGGATATATAATAGAGTTATCTATACACCCTCTGCTTATTCAACAGGTTGCTATGGAAGCCGTGGCCCATGAAAATACATTGCTGATTTACCGAACTTAAAATGGTGATTTTCCGTAGCTACGCTAAATAACCAGAGGGTGAGATATCAACATTCAAATCAGTGGGCAGATGAAATTGGCAATTTGGCAA